TCAGCCTGAGAGCGAATCCAAGTCTCTTCTCTCCCCACTCCCTGGAACTATCACATCAAAGACAGGCTCGCAAGGAATCAGTTTGCCACCACCTCCACAAATTTTCACCTTCCACAAAGACCTCAGGTCTAGAGATGGATCCAGGAGATATGGCTCAGAGAGGTAAAATGACTTGCTCTGAGTCACTCAGCAAATAAAGGACACCCAAGATGGTTTTGTGGCCATGGCTGGATTTATGGGAGTATGCTCTCTGCCAAGTGAGCTAGGTCTGTGCCAGGGACTGAAGGTGCCAGAGACTCTGCTGTTCTCCCTTTTACTAGAATGAGGTTTGCTCTTGAGCTTTCCTTAGCTTAACACAAACTGTACAGGGAAGGAAATCCTACCCCATTCGGTCTCTCTGGCTGTAGGAGACCATGGCAGATGGTGGAAGGGAGGGGAGATGCGAAGGTAATTAGGTTTAAGACTCCAAATCCTTTGATCTACTCCCAGCCTTACCAGTCAATGAATGCTGTGTGACCTTGGGTAAACCTCCTACCATCTCTGAGTTTGAGTTTGTCTTATTGGAAAAACAGAGGTAACATCTCTTCCAGAATTGTTTTGAAGGTGCCGTAAGAGCATCAAGCATAGTGCCTGGCTACATACTAGCTGCTCAAGATAATGGTGGAAGCAGAATTTTTTCCTTTACCCAGAGCTGTGCCATTCACCAGAACAAGAGGCTCCCCTGCACATTCAAGCAACTGGCTCTTCCCACTGGGAGGGCAAATCCATCATGTTCAGCAACTAAAGGCCTCCCCCACCTGGTGTAAGGTTATTGGGGGGTCATGCCCCCATACCCTGTGTCCACTTTCTAGAAAAAGGCCCAAAGCCCCCCACCCTAGCCCCATGTGGGCCCTAGTAGCCTTTTGCTGACAAAGTGGTCATTTCTGACCTTCCTAATGGCCTATGTTCCTCCCAGACAGAAAATTCTACGTCCCTGTGACCCCTAAAAGCCCTGCCCAGCTAATGGTTTTATGATCTTCCCTAGGAATCCTCTCTTTGTCCTCTCTAACCCCCAATCCCCTTTCAGTAGGTCCTAGTCAAAATAAACAACATTTATGACCAGAGCAGGATTCAAGGTCCACATTGCAAACAAATGCAGAGTCCTTTGAAGGTGCCTGGGGGATCCATCACGTCCTGGGGTGTGATGCTCCCCAGACCCAAGGGGAGGGGTCCCTGGGAAGCGGTGCAGGCGTGGGAAGCTGGACTCTGGATCTAGATTTGGAATCGGAGGATCCTGTGCTGTCTCTGTCTGCAGGGAGGGGTTCTTCCCTCAGCACCAAGCCTGCCCTCCCTGCAAGGGAAGTGAGGGGAGGGGAGGAAGGGGACTGGGCATAGCATGAGGTGCTCATTTCAGTCAGCAGCCCTTCTGTGTGGGCTCCCTGGGGGCCAAACCTGACTTTGTGTATTGTTGGGGGAAGGGGACAAAAATGAAAGAGAGGGACAAAAATAAAGCGGGCAAATGGAGAAATAGTCAGTAAGCATGAGTGGATGAGAGGATTAGAGCTGAAACTAAAGAGGTCAACTTTCCCAAAGAAAACTAGTGCAAATGCCTTCAGGAGAAAATCAACCCAGCCTGGCCTGCCTTGTCAGCAGGCCAGCAGAGCGAAAGAGAGAGGGTGGGAAGTAGAGAACCAGACTTATTCTGAGTTTCTCTAGAAGGCCCCAAACATCAACCTCAGTGAATGGTAGGAGAAGGAGAATTAGAGGCCCTTCGTTCAGGATGAGCCCTCCTCCTCCTCCATCCTACCCCAGGTGAAAGGCAGAACGCCCCCACACATGCTTTTCAGCATCCTCAACCAGAGAAAGGGGCTCACAGGCACAGCAGCCCCCTTCTCTCAGCTCTGCCTTCTGCTTGCCACGCAGATGAGATGCCTCAGCTGGGATCAGCCTCCTCTGCCAGGTGCGAGTGGCTACGAGCAGATTTGTTTTCAAGGGGGACTGGACTGGCTTTGCCTGGGGAGCAGTTGTTGGAGAATATTAAGGTAGGATTCCCAAAGGTCCAAAATCTGAGAGCAGCTTTCTAGGACATGCAGCTCAAGGCTTTCTGCAGCCACCGCACAGCCTCTGGAACTGGGGCATGGGCCTAGGGGCTGGCATTCTCTGACTCAGGGCTGGGGGAGGGAGAAAACGTGCCCCTGGAGGCCTCTGCCTTATCATTTACCTTACTAAAAATACTCTGCTACCCAACAGGTTGAGTGAGGAGCTAGACAGGAAGTATGTGCAGGTGGCAAGGTATCTATCACATTTATCAGGTGTCAGGTTATGGTATTTGCATATAGGGCATATAATTAATGTTTGACGATTGAGAGAGATGAAGATTGGAACAAAGATGGAAGGGAACGCAGAGATGGAGAGCTGGAAATGTAGGCATGAGTTTTTCCAGGATAAATACAGTCCCTTCAAAAATTAGCCTTTTCCTAAACTGAAGGCAGAAAAATTTTAATGACTTTGTGATCTTCTGCAAGCAAATTAAACTTTAAGTAGAGTGCTATGGTGCCTGCACACTGCTTTATATATAAAAGGTCCTCAATGGCTTAGAGTTTTAGAAGGGCCTTGGAGACCATCTAGGCCAGCAGGTCCCAGTGTTGGGTGAGTATAGAATCATCCAAGGCACTAAAAAAAAAAAAGATGCTGGGTACCCACTTCCAGAGATTGTCATCTAATTGGTCTTGGCTGGAGCCAAGGTGTCTTTATTTTTAAAAAGCTCCTGAGATGATCCTACTGTACAGCTGGGCTGAGAAACACCAGTCTGGACTAGTACTTCACTTTGCAGAGGTAGAAACTAAGGCCCAGAGAGCAGGTTATCTAGGCTTGCACAGATAACTAGCAGTAAAACAGGACCAGAGAGACCACACAGGTATCTTGACTCCATTGTTAAAAGAGCAAATAAAAGATTGATCCTCTTTTGGAGTCATCTCTGTCTGCAGAGACCAGCTACCTAGCCCCACATTTTCTTATTATTTTCATCGGAGGCCAGGCAGGCTGGCATTTTGTCCCTGCTCCTCCAGGCCTCCGAACCTGAAGGCCCCAGGGCTTATACAGAGCAAATGCCCAAATTCAAATTCCATCAAGTTGAGGGCCTCTGCGAGTAACAGGGCAACTGTTACACCTTGGCCATATGAAGTATCAGTGTATATATACCCCAGAGCAGGGGTGTAGGAGTATGTGTACGCAAATGTGCACATGTGGGTAGAGTCTGTGCAGAGGATTCTCCTATATGTCGGCACTTGTCCTTACGGACACATCAGTGAGGATGCTTACCTGTGTACATGTGAATATCTACATGTGGGATGGAATGTGTGTTCATGTGAACATTAATCTATGCAACAGGGTAGGTGGGTGAGAAAAATATGTGTAAATGTACCAAAGATTCTAAAACACTGGTATATGTGTCCACAATTGTATACAAGTACATAAAACTGGATCAACACTTAGACTTTACATTTACATTTACCAATGGAGGCATGTATATGACAATATATACATAGCTGGCTGGCCACGCGAATGTGCGTGACTGGCAGTCTGTGTGTGCAGGGTGCGAATTTATGTGGAGGGGAAAAGGTTTCTGCTGTTTCCATCACATTTCTCCTAAGTAATCATTGGGAAACGTATGTGTTGGAAAACTGTATCTTTCATGCTTAAATATATCTCGGCATATATAAATGAAACATGATATCATGTCTGCTGAGATGCTACACATTAGCATTGTTTATCATTGATAGAATTAAATAACCCATGCAAGGCCCTGATAGCATTTCTTAACAATTTTATTTAACACTGTTTTGGCCAAGCAGCATTTGGCAGATGCCATCCTATACACTGTAAATTACTGCGATAAATGCATGATATGTGGGGTATAATATACAACACACAAGAAGTATAACAGAGGAGCATCATTAAAAATTCCAACTGTCCCCATCTTTCTTTGGGCTCCACTTATTCCCTTTCCAAACCTGATTAAAACCCATCCCTTCACACTTCCCTAGGAGGTCTCTGCATTTGTAATAGAGATAAAATGGAGAGTGAGGATTTGCGGTGGGGGAAATAGATAACACTCTAAGGCCAGATCTCTGGAATGTTTCTGCTCCTCCCCACTTTGTCAGAGGCAGGCCCAAGCTTCAGCATGTGTTAAAAAGAAAGACCAGAGGAAGCATTTTTACAGGCTTTATAGACCCTTGGGTTTACTGACAAAGTTACTGATTCAGAATGAATAAAAAGAACATTGAACTTAATCAAATTAGTAGTAAATCCTTCATTAAAAGATTCATAGAAATGGTTCCCTGTTTCTTTTTTAAGGGGAAACTATATCCTCCCTTTAGCCCAAATGAGAAAAACCTTTCACATAGTTACAGGTCTGCCAGCTCATCTTTCAAAATGTATGCTGGCCAGTAGCCTAGAATATTGGCTAAATTATGAAAAGTCTGAGAGAAAAGAAAAACTCAGGAGCTGGGATGGCTGGGATCTTCATCTACAAGTCCAACCTGGATCATGAGCAAGAAGACAGAACCACAAATGATGGTCATACAAGCAAAAAATGTGCCCTTACCAGTCTTCCAGCAGTGAAAAGAGGTTGTAGTTACTTCCCAAGGATTATGAATAAATGGTACATCTAAGTCTTTACAAAACCTGCAAAGGACTTTGTAATCTCCAGGAGTGGAGACCAAGATCCCACATGGAACCTCAAAGCCCCACTCTCTAGGATCCTTTTTATCGTCCCTGCGCTTCATTTTGGTACGGCAGTGTCAAGACTGAGACAGGCTGCCTCCTAGCATTCTAAGTTTCTCTAACTTCTCTCCTACTGAGATCCCTGAGGCCTATGAAGTAAGATGGCCAAGTCTAACTTGAACAGTGTTTGGACCCACCCCCCTCTCCCCAGATCCTCTGCCAGCGCAACAAAACAGTCATCAGAACTGCCTTGCCAGACAGCCCTCAGCCACTCTCCGCCCAGGATATCAGCCAACCTGCTTGGGGGACAGATGAATGCCCACCAAAAAGTATTGTATCATCTTCACACTGCTGAAGTCAGGAAGTTGGCTCTCCAGAACCTGGTGCCGTGGGCTGTCTCCTGAATGAACACAAAAGAAAAAAGAAAGTTTCCTAATGTTTGGATTAGAAGGAAGAATGGTAAAAAGCATCCATCAATGAGCATGCCCCACCCCAGCACAGACCCCCATACACTCATACATGCACATATGCGCACCCCTTGCCCACGCAGACAAAACATGAATCATCTCCGTGGCTGAACATTTTAGCGTTCAGTAATATTCTCAGAGGCCCAAGGTTTTCAGGCAAATCCCTGGTCTGTGCACAAGGACACTGCATAAATCCCTCCCCTTATGAAAGGCCAGTCCTAGCAGATGGGACCACCCTTAAGTAAACTGCGGAGCCCTCCCTTCGTCCATCTCAGGAGGAGCAGCAGTGGGCTGGGCCTAACAGCCTGGAGAGCAGAGAGTGGCAGAAGCTGCAATGCTGCGGCCGGTGTTCACATCCCCAACTTATCTCTCTTAGGGAGGTGTCTGTTTGACCACACAGTCCTCTCTCCCCTCCCCAAAGGGCAAATCAGATCTTGAAGTCAGACTAGAGGAGGCTGCTGCAGACCAGGTGGTGGCCAGAGTTGGGCAAGCAGATATGAGCATTGGAGAGCTGGCCAGGGCAAGGAGGAAGCAAGAGGAAAGGGGACCCCTCAAAGCCAGTTTCTTTCCATGCTTAGTTTGGGGAAATAACCTCACAGCAACTCCACTTTCTGATAACCTATTTCATTAATATTAAATAAAAGATTTCTTTAAAAGAAGAAGGAAGGGCCAGATAATTAAACACTCAGCAGAGGTAGAGGATTCCAACACTCTGTTTTCTGTTTGCTGCCCCCCCCCCCCACTTGCAGCCCAGGCCAAATATGTACACTGCACCATGTACCATCCCAGCCGCTACCCATCTCCCGGGTGTGTCAGGAAGACATAAGGCAGGTGGATGGAGAGAGAGACAGACCCCAGCACCCCAGGTGCCCACCAAGAAATGCATGGACTGTGAAATTTACACCAGGGTTGGACAACTCACCACCGCACTAGAACCCTTGGGATACTGAAATAATTAACTTGCTAATCAGCTACACCTTGCTTTTTCCTTTCTTCCTGGAAAAAACAATCACAAATTGCCTTCACATCAGGTTCCTATGTCAGTCACTTGGAGACAAACTTGGAGACAAACAGTGCTTTGAAAGAAATATACTCCCTGCCTTCCTGTAGACTGAAATAGGTTGAACCAAGTTAGGCCTCCTCTTCTTCCCCACCTCTTCCCACCAGGCCTCAGGGGGCACACGCATAGACAGTGTTTCTGGAGATGCAAGGTTTTTTTCTGTCAACGCCACAGAGCTTTTCCATCTCCGCTAAGCTTCCTCACTCTCGGCCCTCTTTAGTCTGCTTGCTGGCACTAAACAGCCAAGATCCATGTGGAGAAAAGAGGATTGATTAGAATCGTAATAACAATCCCTGGCATTCGTCTGGCTTTAACGTTTACAAAGTGTTTTGCACATTATCTCATTCCGTCAAGGAGGTCGGAGCTGGAAGAGACCTTAGCGATCATTTAGCCTAATCCGCTTGAGTTACATATGGGGAAACTGAGGCCAAGAAAGGTTAAGTGTCTTCCCCAAAGGCCACAGCTAAGGACAGTGTGACCAGGTCCCCCATGTTTACTGTCTAGAGATCTGGTGCCACCTCCCACCCCCAAGGAGGGGAAAAGAGCATGATTACCTTTTTGCTCCACAGTGGATACAGACCACAAAATCAAAAGGTCAAAAGGGTAGGACATGAGAATGTAGAAAAAACAACTCTTGTAAGAAACGGTTTTGGGGGGTTGGGAGTGGGGCACACTAGGCTGAGTTGTGAATAGAACATATCAACTAACGCACTTCCTTCTCTGTCTCTTTGTCCCCTCATCTTCCCCTTTCTCTTCATGATTAAAAATATGGACATTATGCAGTTTGGGATCTAAGGCCTAATTTGGCCACAGTGCCCAGGTGCTTTTCTTGGATTCAAATCTGGCACCTACGCACCCAAGATTCGCAGCATGATGGGCTCTTGTGTGCATATGTGTGTCCACTCAAGACATAGGATTTAATGGTGAAAAACAGGCTTCTTGATCCTTTCACAGATCAGATGATTTGCAAATTAATAGCTCATTCCCCCCAAGGCTCTGACAAGGTGAAAAAAATATTTCTGGTGAAGGGGGAGAAAGGTGGAAAAATATAAAGCAGGGAAAAGAAGCAAAATGACATTGGATTCTGTGAGAAAATACCTCCCTGTGAATGGCGTGTGTGTGTTGGGGTGTGGGTCTCTACAATTCCACAGGGCCGCCTTGCCCGCGTTGCCGAGCCTGTTGGAAGGTAAGCAGTTCCTTTGTGTGTTCATTTATTACTAAGCCCAACTCTTTTCCCTCTAAAACTCCTTCTTCTCCCTGTTGAGCTGACCATGCTTCTGGATTTATGAAGAGAGATGTTTTAGCAGAAATCCCCCAGAGTGTCCCATCAGCCCTAAATCCCAGGCCCGCTCACCCCCCCAAGACCCCATGACACACAGCATGCCAACACGGCTTCCTCTTGCCTATGCATTAGCCATCCATTGTGGCAACCTGACATCTCTCACACATAAAACCGTAAGAGAGAAATAAAATATCTGTCTCTTGGCGAAAATAAAGCTTTGCCTCCCTCCTGATGTATAGGATATAAAATAAAGCCGCAGCTCCAATAGTGGCTTTTCCTTATGCCGAGTTGCTTTTGCACACACAGAGACAATGAAGACGGATGGTTTGGGACGAGGCCCAGCCTCCCGGGGCTGCCTTCACCCTTTTTTATTATCGTCTTTCCCCCCTCCTGCCTTTTTCTTTCTTCTTCACTTTCTTTCCTTTCGGGTTTGGATTTGCCTTTTATATGCCCTTCTCTTTCTTTCCTCTGGAACTTTATTCCTCCTGCTCACTTTCTTTCTAAAGCTTGACAGAGACAGGGAGAGAAGAGCCAAGTTTCTCACCTTCTCAGATGGCCCACTATCTCTCCCGCCTCCCCCTTCTCCAAACCCCAGTGCTCTCTGGACTGCCAGCCCCTGTGACAAATTTTGCTGTTACTGCTTGGGGATTTGCTTTGGTCAAATATACAAATGTTCCCAGGGGACAATTAAGAATGTGTTTGGTGGGGGGGAGTGGGTTTTTTTTTTCTGGGGGCTGCCTCCCCCACACACCCAGGCTGGGTAGTTTATGGATCTCAGCAATTATTTATTTAGCCCTGAAGAGGCCAACAGAGCAAATCTGCCACCCCAAAGGAGTGGGTTGACATTCACCTTCCAAAACCCAAAACCTCAAAGCTGTATTATCAGACAGATTGTGAGCGTTGGGCTCCTTCTGGCCAACTCAGCTACCAAGGGGTCAATCCAGGTCCAATGCGCTCTCCGCCATCTCTTCCCACAGGCCTGAGAACCAAGGGTGCCAGAGAGGAAAATAAGAGCCCCCACCCCATGCTCACACACACACAGTCAGAGACATGGCCACCTTCCTGCTCTCCCATACACTTGACACTCTCTCCCATGGTGCACAGTGTCTACCTTTTTTCTCCTGTCCCCGGAGGCTTCACTCTTGTCAGGTGTGTATTGCTCTCCTCTGTGCTTCTGCATCTCTCCACTAGTGGGTTTGTCTCTGGAAGCTTCTTTCCATCCTTACTCTGACTTTATCCCTCTGGTAGCTCTCTCCGTCTGTCCAAGGCTGCTTCCCAATCCACTCAAAACCTCACCTGCTCTAGTAGGGGCTGCAGGACCCACACCAGGTCCTGGAAAAAGTTAGTAGTGACTAAAAGAAGGGGGTGCAGGGTCTGGGCTCCTGGGGGAACAACAGGGGAGGAAGCACCTTTGGTGTTGCCTGGAAGGTTGGAAATGTCCAGCAGCGGTGTATGAGGTGGCTTCAGCCTCTGAAATTGATGAAGGGCTTCAGTGTGTATGTGTGGAAGGTTCCTGGTTGCCCTAATTTGAGGAAATCTTTATTAATGGAAATATGGAGGGGCAGGTAAGGCAGCAACATCTATTGAACTCGGCCCCCAAGAGTTGCCAAGCCCACAAAGAACTTAACCCCAGGCCCAAAAGTAGTTAGCTTTAGGGATCTCCCTGTCTGTATCTCTCTCCACTTGATATCTCTCCAGATATCAGCAGTGACCACCGCCATTAGGTAAGAGGAGAGAGTCAATTAGTGAGAGGATTAATTACTCCCAGGCATGAGCCCCGTTTGTCTTTCTTACCGGGTGTGAGTGTGTGTTCAGAGGAACACGGGCACGCACCCAAATACACATTGTTGTCACGCCGTCTTAGACGTTTTATTTATTTGTTGGATTCCTGCCCAGAACTGCTCGCACGCTTTTCCACGGGCGCCGAGTCTCCCACCAAACACGCCGCCTCCTGCCGCACACCCGCGCACCCTCGGAATCTCGCCCGCCGCCCCTCGGCGCCTGCGGGTCCTGGGCCCGCGCTGCTCGCCGCCGCCTTTTGGGTAGCTGGACGTCTTTCTGGGTCTCTTTCCCGTTTCTTTTCCTTCACTGCTCCAGGCATTTCCTCCAAGATGTCCTTCCTCCTTTATCCGCAATTACTTCTCCGCATTTCTTCTTTGGCTTTCTGCCCTTGCTCCTTTGCCCCTCGCTTCCGTGCCGCCTGCCTCCTCCGGCTCACCCTCTCCCTTCCCGGAGTACCCAGGACCTGTCTGCTCGGCGGCGCTGACTTGCGTCCGAGATCGCCGCGCTCGACCTACCTCCCCACCTTCCGTGCCTGGGGACCCTCCCGCGCTCGTGGGAAGCCCGCGTTGTTCACCCAGCCCGAGCGCACACCGTGAAGCCCCGGCCTCGCGCCCCCACCCTAAAACTTGGAAAACCTGGCGGGGTCAAGTACGCAGTGGAGCAAGAGACCGCCCTCCCCGCTCCCCCCCCTCCAAAAAAAACCAAAAAGCCTTTTCACCTTCAATAGTGCGCTGACCCAGGGATCTAGGGCAAACCCTATTAACTTAGGGTTTCTTCCCCGGGGAGGAAAAAGGAGATAACGATTCCCTCTCTTACTATGTGGTTCAGGGGAGATAGTGATATAAACTGTAAAGTGCTGCACACAAGCAGGTCATTTGCAGGAGAGAGAGATGGAGTGAGGTCAAGGCAACGTGAGGCAAGAGCGAACGACAGAGGGAAAAGAGCGCGAGAAGTCTGATCAGATCTGAGGGACCTGGGCCAGTTTCCTGCATCGCATCTGCGGAGTCCTCACCGAGTCTGTGCGGGGTCTGCGTAGCCGCCCGGACCCACAGGGCCCAGGACGCACCCAGCCCGCTCCCTTCTCCCTCTTCCTGGACCGGCACCGCTCGTTGGCTACATTCTTGCGGCCGGGCGCAGGTGACCACCTAGAAACCGCTCGGACCCAAGCGCCTCCTTTCACAGCCTCATCGCCCTTTTCTGGAGATCGTGGGCTGGACAGGAGCGCGGTGGGCAAGGAGGAAAGTGGCCCGGGCGGTCCCTCTCCTGGGAACTACGGCGGCTGACGGTGCCGGGCAGCCTCGGGTCTTTGCGCCGCGCGAGCCATTCGGGAATATTGGGGGGCAAGACGAGGTGGGGCTCAGAACCAAGGAGGCGGCTGGAAGAATGGGGTGCCAGAGAGGGCGCCATCAGCCCCCAAATCGCAGGGCGGCTGGGGAGGGCTGGCAGGACCCCCTCCATTCCCAGTTCCTGGGCACCGTCCCTCCTCTCGGGCTCATCCTCAAGGCGCTTCTCAGAAGAGAAACGTGGATTGCGAAAGCCACTTCCTGGGCCCTCTGGGGCCTTTTCCAAGAGTGCCTGGGGATGAAATTCTGCAGCCACTGAGCGATGACACGGCGGCGAAATTGACCGTCACGACCTGGGGCAGTGTGTGTGGTTGTGGGTCTGTGTGACTTAGCGGGCCTCGGGTAGGAAAACGCTTGTGTACTTCAGACAGTACGTGTGTTAGCGAGGGTGAGGGAAGGCTGACACTCTCCACCGAGCAGGCATTGGTTTAAATACAGAGTTGAGCTGAGAGGCTTCTGAGACGATGAATTTGGAAAGCTGGGCCACTTTTCTCTCCATGTCTCTGCAACCAATTGTTTCAAAATAAAAGTTCAATGGATACGCAGGGGGAAAAAAACCCAACATTAATCTAGTGTGCCTCTGCGCAGAGGCGTTAAATCTGGTCTTTAAACCTAGAATCAGCAGCCGGGAGGCATGCCACACGTTGCGCTCCTGGACACCCTGGTAGACGCCGGGGTTGGTTCCCGCAGACCTATTTATTATGCCATCTGGACACGAGGACAAGCAGAGTTCGATGCCCCAGAGCCCACGTCCTGTCGTCGCCCTCAACTCTCCTACTGCTCTGGTCTGCCCGCGGGGTCTGCCCGCTTTTCCCTCGACGTCAAGATCCCCAGGTCCCTGCACCCCCAAACCGGTGATGCAACCTCGTGTCCACCCGAAAGGAGGCGGCAGGCCTTGGGTTCAGAAGGGGCCTGCAGCCGCGTCCAACTGTCGCTCCGTAGGTCCCCGCCGACCGTCAGCCACCGCCGCGGCCCCTCTGCTTTGCATGAGAAGAAGCCCAGCTGGGACGGGGGCGGGGGCGAGCCACCCGGGACTCTGTCCGCTTTAGATTCCAAAAAGGACGGTTGGGTCGAGGGCGCTAGTGGCGAGACCGAGACAGCTGGGGGTCGGGGAAGCGTGGGGACCAGTCGATCGGATCAGCTCCGCCCCACGGGCCTCACCCAGCGCAGGGGGCTGGGTAGGCACCTCGGGGTCCGGATGGAGGAGGCGAGGAACCTGCGCCCTACCGCTCTTAGCGCCTCCTTGGGTCCTAGAGTGCCGAGTACGGGTTGGCTTGTACCTGGAAGTATCGGGTCAGCAGGAGCACAAAGCCAAGTCCAACCCAGCGAAGCCGGCGTGCTGAGTGGAGAACTGCCCTTCCCACCCCCAGCCCTGCGGTGGGCCCAGGCCTGGGAGAGGCCAACGGAGTGGGTTGAAGACAGAGCGATAACCAGCCGCAATACCGGCCTGCCCGCGCGAGGAACCCGAGCCCAGGTGTGTGTAGAGGGGGTGCAGAGAAGGTGTTAGGGGCCCCACACCCAGAGGTCAGGATGGGTGCAGCGCCAAGGAGGCTCACGGCGGGCCTCGGCTTTGGCTTCCAATGGAAAAGTGACTTGGGAGGCAAGGCAGGGGCTGCTGGGGGGCCTCACGATTGCAGGCGGTGCGGGCGGAGGCTTGAAAGCAGAAAAGGGGGATCGGCAGAGCCCTCAAACTCCGGTCCCACAGACCGCAAACTAAAGTCTCTCCAGCGGCTTCCCAATTCGCCCGAAGAGGGTATTCCTTTTAAAGAGAGCTGGATTCCCTGCCCAACTTCATTACAATTACCTTTCATCCTGCCTTTCCCCCCACTTATGCCGGGCCCTGTGTGGGATGCCTGAGCTCTGCACCTCAAGTGGGGTCAAAAGGCCAATCCCAAAATACTGACTAGACTTGGCTGACTGCCCAGCCATATTTCCTTCCGTACGAGGGCCTAATCTCCTTCCTAGCACCCCCACCACCCCAAAAAGAGAACGAGAAGCAAAAGGAAGACTGCCCAGCCCTGTCACCTTTTCAGACTTCTCTTCGGGAGAAATCTCCCTTAAACAGAGAAACGGTGCTGTTGAAAGGAAATTTAGTATTTGCCCAGCTTGGGCCAGGGAACAAGAGAGACTCTTAGAGCGAGGCTTAGCTCTCAAGACCCGGAACCGACCCTCACGTCTGGAATAATCCACCCCCATGGGCAGTGGTCCCGAGTTTATACCCTGAGCGAAATTAGGCAGGTAATGGATTCTGAGGAGTGAACTATGGAGAACGCGGTCTGCTGTCGTCTGAGGAACCTGGTGTCTGCCCGCAGCCGGGAAAAGGGGAGAACAGGAAACGGGGCTATTCTGCCCGTGCGCTGCACGCCCCAATCCACTGCAGCCTCTCTGTGGAGCCCCTAGGACGTCCCGGCTTCGCACGGCCACTGCCACCACCCGCAGCCGCCGCTGATGCCCCGCGGTTTCCCGCCTACTCGTTTGTTTTTCTATGTAAAAGGTGTCTCCGGTTCACAGTTTTCTCGCAACTTCTCACCAGTGCTGCAACTCCTCACCGGAGGCGCTTCCCCACCCACTCCTTTCCCCCCTCCCCGGCGCCGCGCCTCCGGTCTCCCCCGCCCCCACCAGGAAACTGCCGGAATCAACTTTCTGAGGCCGCGCTGCGGGAAACAGACACCCAGATCTCCTAGAGACTGGACCCTGTGGACTTTGGATGGACTGGGGGAGGGTGCATAGAAGGAAGGACCGGAGGAGGAAGATTCTAGGGCCGAGCGTCCTCCCCTCACCACTCCTCCAGAGAACGCGCGCTGTGCCGGGACAAACTTCTAGACCCAAAAAGCATGGTGGGGGGGAACCAAAACTAGTCAGCACCCACTGAATTATAAAGTCAAACTGCACCAGGGTCGCCGGGGCTCCCGGACCCAGCTGCACCCCAATCTTAAGGCTCCATCTTCATTACTCCCACTCTCCAGCAGAATTAGGTCTTCCGCCTGCGCCTACTCCCGCGCGCTCTCAGTCCCTCCCACCGAAACCGACGCCTTACCAGAGTAGAGGGGGGCCCGGGCACCTCGATGCCCGCAGCCCGCACCGCGCCGGGCCGCGGATGCGGCCGCCACTGATCCTCTAAACGCGGTCTCCCGGCACTCTCCCCAGCCGGGGGATGCAGAATGGTTTACAGAGGGACCGCGAGCCGCTGATTGGTCGCAGGTCGCGGTGACGTCGGCGGGCGCTGCATTAAGGCGAGGGGGCTTCCAGAGCTCAGCCAACAGCCAGGAGCAGTGACCGAGCCGCTGGAGCTGGGGAGAGACGTGCCGGGGCGGCGGACTGGGCCAGGAGACCAGGGACAGAGGGACCCTTGTCCGGGAACAGCCAGCAACGAACTGCGGCCCGTGCGGCGACAGCGGAGGCTCATGCCGAGCTGTTCCAGCCGCGCAGAACTGTAGCTGCTGCACCAGGACGTTTTTTTTAAAGCCCTCCAAGCTACTCCCCTCCCCCCTACTCCTACCGCTGCAAAGGAAAAAAAAAAAAAAAAAGGAAGAAAGAGGCTAGAAAGGAACCCCAGATTTGCCACCACAACGAAGAGAGGGAAAAGGAAAGGAAAAAGTCGAGCGACTGTGGGGTTGGACGCAGGCAGCCGGACAGTGGGCCGAGAGATGCGCGGCCGCGCTCCCGGGCTTCCGCGAGTTGTGACTGGAGCCAAGATGCACGGCCAGGCGCGGTGAGGAGCCAGACTATCACCTCCCCGAAGGAGTCCAGACGCTGAGAGTGCCCTTCCGAGAACACGGAGGCCACCGGGCAGGCCGCGGGCCGAGGTGACCGGGCTGGGGCGGTGGGGAGTGAGCAAGCGCACCTGGCTGCGACCGCCCCGAGTTGTCCCTCTCCGTTCTCGATTGACACAAACACTTCTCCAAAAGGGGGGAAACCTCTAAGCATCAACAATCAACAACGAGATCTCGCTCTTGCCCTCCCTTCCCTCCTCCCTCCTTGGCCTGTCCCCGCCCCCTCCCCCAGGCCCGACGCGGGCGCCCGGCGCGTCCCGACCCACTGCGCGATGCTGGCAGTTTAGGATCCAAAGCTTCTCGATTCGTTTTGTTATTTTCTTTTATAAAAAGAGGAGGGGAAACCCCGGTGGCGGTCAGCCCGGCACACACCCCGCCGCCCTCAAACCCCGACAAAAGCAGATGCACTTTGACTTCTGACAGCTCTACCTCAAGCCCGAGAGAACTCAGCGACGCTGTCCCTGCAACCCGAGCTCTTCGCGTCCTCTTCCTTCTTCTCCGTTTTATTTATTTCCGTTCCCGTCGCTGTTTTCGGTGACCTTCGCGGGTTCAGGGCATAAGAGTTGCTTTCTCTCCCGCCTGAGACTCTTCTCCTTGCCCCTGGAGCTGTGGCGGCGCTGCTGTGCCTCTGGGCCCTGGGACTCCCGGGCTGCACACTCCACCAAGGCGTCCCTCTCCCCCTCTCAGCCTCGTTTCCCCCTTCTCTAATTTCCTGGTGTGGGTTTTGGCTTGCACCGCCGAGTGTGTCTCCTCTTTTTGGAGGGGCTGGAGAACTCGTGCCGGGCGTCTTCGGGAATCTTCCCCTCGGCTCTACCTGCTCTTTTCTCTCCGGGCCTCACCTGACCAAACCAAAGACCATGGTGCACTGTGCCGGCTGCAAAAGGCCCATCCTGGACCGCTTCCTCTTGAACGTGCTGGACAGGGCCTGGCACGTCAAGTGCGTCCAGTGCTGTGAATGTAAATGCAACCTGACCGAGAAGTGCTTCTCCAGAGAAGGCAAGCTCTACTGCAAGAACGACTTCTTCCGGTGAGTACTTCCCTCGTGCGCCTTTGCTCCCTCCCCGCGGGCTCTTCCAGTCCAGCTTCGGATCAGAGGTCAGCGTGGCCGTGGCGGCTGTGTTAGGAGCTGCCTTTGGAGAGGGCAGCCAAATCCCACGGGCGTCAGTCTCTTCGCCAGCTGGTGCGCTGGATGCCCAGGACTCGGCCCTGCTTGCGTCCTGGAAATCGTGGGTTTGGCTGCACGGGCCTGAGAAGAAAGGGTCTGAGCTTACCTCGGCCCAGAAACCCCTCCAAGCTTGGAGAGAGGTAGCCCAGCCTCGGGTGTGTAAACTCTGGTTCCCATCTTTTCCCGCGCGGAGCTCTCCAGCAACTGCATTCTCCAGGCCTCCTCGGGTTGCTCGCCCTCCAGGCTGAGCTTAGAAACCCGGGCTAGCTCCGTGCCTCTGCCTTTTCCACCTCTGAGAGGTCATGGCGCGAACCGCCGAGCCTTTTGCATGGAGTATCGGGGTCGCCTGCCTTGGCAGTGGCAAGGAAGAACTCGGCTTTCATGCCTCTCCTCAAGAGCCCAGGGTGTTCCCGAAACGCCGACTGGTCTCCAAGCGTGGGCCCGGGACTCTGCGGACCGCGCCTGTGAAATGCCTCGAGGCTGCAGCCTCCGCAGACCTCTCCTTCTACTTCCCCCCGCTGCCAGGGTTTGCGGGAGGTTGGCTTCCACCCAACGCGGACCTCGGCTCTGAGGCTCAGGCTCCGCTCGGAGCTCTCCTATGCACTTCCAGCCACCCCCACTCCCTTGCCGAAACCCGAGACCAGGCTCGTCGGAGCCTAGAGACTTCTTCCGACACCCCTTCTCCGTTTAGCGTTTTAATTGTATTCTCTTAAACTCACTATCTTGCCATCAAATCCACACAAACACGCAAGTCAACAGAGAAGAACAAGAGCAAATGCGAATTGTAATTGCCCTGTTTGAGATCTCCCAGTTTACTGGGCTGACTTGGTCACTGCTATGCTCAAGAGTTTGTGATGATAGATGAAACTGGGATAAGGGGTGGGGGTCGCTTTGCCCAGAGGTCCCGGACATGCCGTCCCCACAGCTGCCCCGGGTCGCGTGGCTCTGGTTGCGGTGACCATGGAGCAAAGCGCTATGCAGGCTTCCTGGAGGAAGCGCGGGCTGAGCCTCTGAGCCTCGGCCGACCGCGTCCGGTTTCCCTAGTTCTGGCTGGAGCCCAGCCGGAGAGCAGCGAACAGTGCCAGCTGCCGGCTGGCCCCAGAGGCCTGGCTCCCGCAAAGCGTTCGTATAGCACGGACCGACACCTAGAGACCCGTGGCGGCTCTAGCACAAACCTGCCGGCTTTGGGCTTGAACGTGGCGGTGGCCCAGCTGCGGCCATATGGGCTCCCCGCGCCTGTTTTTTTTTTTTTAACCCGCGTTGGGACTGGACCTTGCCATCCCCCAACCTGTGTGTGGGTCCTTTTTCAGTGAAAGAGAGGCCACATTAGGAGAGAATAGCGGCGCCCGGTACGCGTTTATATGAAGGTCTAATTTGAATTTGTTTTCTGAATCTAATCAGAAAATAAGTGTCCCTGGGTCTACCTATCGCCACCTTGCTGCTTTCTTCAGCAGCGCTTTTTTCTTTGGGGCCATGCAAGGCATGAGGCTATAGATGGGGGCAGCTTGGGCCCCGCACTCTCTAACCATTTGTATCTCCTCCCTGACTTTACACTGGTGCTCTGCGCTCTCTCCTCCTGCCTCCCTGCCTGCTTACTCGGCATTCTGTACCTCTTTTTCTTTTTGGCTTTCTCCTCCTTCTTTTTCCCTTTCCTCTTCTCCCACTTTCTACTTATTTATTTATATTCTCTCCCGGCCACTTTCTCCCACTGCCCCTCACCAACCCACCCCCCTGCAGGTGTTTCGGTACCAAATGCGCAGGATGTGCACAGGGCATCTCCCCTAGCGACCTGGTCCGGAGAGCGCGGAGCAAAGTGTTTCACCTGAACTGCTTCACCTGCATGATGTGTAACAAGCAGCTCTCCACCGGCGAGGAGCTCTACATCATCGACGAGAACAAGTTCGTCTGCAAAGACGATTACCTAAGCAACAGCAGTGTCGCCAAAGAGAACAGCCTCCACTCGGGTGAGAACCCAGTTCCTGGCTGGCTAGGGCTGGGGGGGTCCTGGGGGAGAAAAGTCTGCCAAGGCCGCTGCTCACTTGTCCTTTCCCTTTCCCCAGCCACCACAGGCAGTGACCCCAGTTTGTCTCCGGACTCCCAAGACCCGTCGCAGGACGATGCCAAGGACTCAGAGAGCGCCAATGTATCGGACAAGGAAGGGGGCAGCAATGAGAATGACGACCAGAACCTAGGCGCCAAGCGGCGGGGACCTCGCACCACCATCAAAGCCAAGCAGCTGGAGACGCTGAAGGCTGCCTTCGCTGCAACGCCCAAGCCCACGCGCCATATCCGCGAGCAGCTGGCTCAGGAGACTGGCCTCAACATGCGTGTCATCCAGGTCAGGGCCCGTGGCATGCCACTCAGATCCCTGAGGTCTACAGGGCTCCTCCAGGCAGACACCCAGGCCTAATGGGGACCCTTGAAGGAGGTGGGCGAGCCCAGGGAGGATAGTGGAGGGGGAGGAGAGAGACCCAGACCCACCTCTACCTTTCTGGGAAGGGGGGGGGAATGAATAGATCTTCCAAATCCCTAGGCCTCTTGTTTTTCCTGGTCCAGTGCAGGTGATAGTGGTGGTGGAGGAGGAGGGACAGGGAGCTCAGCAGGAGGCTGGAGGAGGGGACATTGTGGGACACCACAGCTAGAGTTGGAACCTTTTTCCTGCACCACCCACCCCTGTTCCAAAAGTGCCAAGAGATTGCTGTACATGCGTGACTTAATCCCTGCTGCTGGCTTCTGCACAATGTGATCTACTTCTGTGTCCCTAACCCCAACTTTGTGAGTCTCTTGCCCCAGTTTCACAAGCCTCAGAGCAGAGACATCCCATTGGAAGAGAGGTGGGGCATCCTGGTTTGAAGGGGAGGTGGTCCTAGGAGTGGGCCCTGCCTCAGGTGGTCCCACACAAGCCTAGGGGAGGCAGCCATCTGGGCAGCAGTTCCATTATGTTCTGAGGGCTTGAGACTGTGGTGATTTGCTCCAGTCTAGTGCCTGAGGTTAGGTGTCTGGTTCACCCTGCCTGCAGGCTCTGCAAGGGTGTGGGCAGATGTGCCTGGAGGCTGAGTGTGTGTTTGTGTGGGTAGGCAGGCTGCCTTCAGCAAGAGGCCCTGCTCCTCCGGAAGGCTGTGCCAACCTGTGCACATGTGAATGGGAGGCTTTGTGTCTGTGTCAGTATCAGTGCGAATCTGTGGATAAGTATGCTTGGCACTGGGAGATTGTGCATGGGTGTGAAAAAGAGATTGTGGATTTTGGTGTCACTATCACTGCGAGACTGAGTGTCAACAGAAGTCTGTTTAGTTCTCTCTGTCACTGTTATGTGGGGGAGGCAGCTGCCAGCCACCGTGAAAGGGAAGTTGAGCGTGTGTCTGACATAATTTTGGGAGGTTGGGTGTCTATGTATGTACAGCCTCCCGAGAAGCTGTAACCGTGACAGTGTGACCATTAGAAAGAACTTCAACAGCCTCCCCTCCGCTGGCCCAGGTGTCCCGACCTGTTCGCCATTGGCTCAGTCCCTCCCAACACACACACACACACACACACACACACAAACACACGCACACACACACTCTCACTCACACTCAGCCCTGAGTGGGCGAGCTAGGCAGTGGAGGGGTGATGGGATCGGGTCAGGCTGCGCACTGAGACGGGGGTCTCCGTGACCTCCCCCCGCGGCATGTGTGCTTCAGGTCTGGTTCCAGAACCGCCGCTCCAAGGAACGGAGGATGAAACAGCTGAGCGCGCTGGGCGCCCGGCGCCACGCCTTCTTCCGCAGTCCGCGCAGGATGAGGCCGCTGGTGGACCGCCTTGAGCCCGGAGAGCTCATCCCCAACGGGCCCTTCTCCTTCTACGGAGGTGGGTGTGCTGCTTAGAGGACGGGCGGGGTTTGGCTTCGTTGGAAGCGGGTGGCAGCGCGGGCGGCGCTTCTAGTCTTCTGCAAAGAAGTGCAGAGTGGCGGGAAGATGGGAAGGCTGGAAAGGAATCAGGAGGCGGTGAGACCGAGGGCCGAATTCCCGACCCTGAATGAGGCAGGCGGGCAGGTACGGAACAGCTCTGGTGTTTGCGCCAAACCTGCACCCGGCTCCCTGCCGCGCAGCAGAGCCCGCCGACCGCGAGCCCCCCAGTCCCGGGGGGAGGGCGCCCTCCCGCCCTTTCTCACCCCCGCCCCCGCTGACACCCTCCTCCCTGCCGCTCCGCAGATTACCAGAGCGAGTACTACGGGCCAGGGGGCAACTACGACTTCTTCCCGCAAGGTCCCCCCTCCTCGCAGGCTCAGACGCCTGTGGACCTGCCCTTCGTGCCGTCGTCTGGGCCGTCGGGGACGCCCCTGGGCGGCCTGGAGCACCCGCTGCCCGGCCACCACCCTTCGAGCGAGGCGCAGCGGTTCACTGACATTCTCGCTCATCCCCCCGGGGACTCGCCCAGTCCCGAGCCTAGCCTGCCCGGGCCTCTGCACTCCATGTCGGCTGAGGTTTTCGGGCCCAGCCCGCCCTTCTCGTCGCTGTCGGTCAACGGCGGGGCGAGCTACGGGAATCACCTGTCCCACGCCCCCGAAATGAACGAGGCGGCCGTGTGGTAGCGGGGTCTCGCTCGGGCCGCAGAGTTCGTGGTTGTACAGAAACGAACCTTTATTTAAGAAAAATAGAAAAAAGAAAAAATATAAAAAGCAAGTCACTCCTCCCCACTTACTTGGGCCTCGGGGA